AGCATACAATAAGCAATTATTTTTTCACAGTCGGGGAAAATGCTTACATAAGAGCATGTTTTCTGAACCTCATCCACCTCATAGCATCTTCCAAATTTTTAGTGCTAAAAGTTTCTCAGAGTAATTAAAGGCTGAGCTGATCTAATTAGTTTGATGAAATTTTCAGTAGGGATTTAATTCTCCCTAGCACTTCACTCACTTTTTTTTTTCTAGAATCCTTTCTTAGGCTCATCCCAAGCAACATTTAGTGACAGGATTCTAAATTGCCTCACACAGGCAGCGTCTCCACTCAAAGGATGAGAGCAGGTATATATGGCTAAAAAGCAAACTTCAAATACAAAATTCTATGTTGTTTTATTGAATACCATCCTTTCATACCTCTTCAATTTTATTTTTCCTCCAATAAATGATCCATATATATAAAAACCTAAGCGACTGCCCGACCATCTGACTGGTCAGTAGCTATGATGCACATTGATCACCAGGGGGCAGACGCTCAACGCACATGCATGGAGACATGGAACAGACTAATGAATCTCAGAGGGAAGCAGGGAGGGTGGGAAGAGATTAACCAAAGATCTTATATGCATACTAGAGGCCAGGTGCATGGATTCATGCACCAGTGGGGTCCTTCAGCCTGGCCTGCAGGCATCAGGCCCAAACCGGCTCTCTGACATCCCCCCAGGGGTCCCAGATTGTGAGAGGGTGCAGACCAGGCCGAGGGACCCCACGGTGCATGAATCCCTGTACCAGGCCTCTGGTGTTAAATAAACTTCACTCTGCAGATGGGAAATAGATGTTTCAAAGCATTTTGGAGGCACAAAGAAATGCATATAGCAAGAGATTCTAAGGCAAGATTAATGAGAGAGCAGCATGACCCTTACTTGTAAGTCATTTTCTAACAGCACCAAGTCCTCATGGCCAAAATATTCAGAAAGAAATACATATTAGTGAAATGTTCCTCCATCTCTGAGGATTTTTAAAAAATCTCTATAATGAGCATCTTAGAAATCATCTCTGATACTTTTATATAGAACAATGTATTCCAAGTAGTCTAAGGTGAATGGACAGGTCTGTAGATGTCTTCAAATAGATTCCAAGCATCCCACTTAGATGCCATCTATCTTTTTGCATGGTCAACCAATTTCCTCTTGTGGTATAATAGTCACTTAAAACTTCTTGTTGGGAAAATTAAATTAAATTCAAAATGATGAATAATTCTTAAGGAACATATATTATAGCTTTTACTCAATGTTATAAAAATGCAATTAAAATATAAACAAATGTTTCTTGCCAGAGCATTGGTATTGCTTTTGTAAACAACAGATTGAAATAGCATAATTTTTAAAGGTGTATTATTCTCTAAAAATTTCATTGATGCAAGCTGTATATAATGGTAATTTATTATTTAAAAATTTCCTGTTTTTTCTTAAATTTATTTCCTTTGAAAGTAATTTTCAGTAGCTCAAACATTTATCCAAAGATTTTTCCATGTACTTATAATAAAAATATAAGTTTTAAAAAACTGCTTTGATCCTCCATTATAAATTCATGGCCATTCAAATTTCCCTCTCATTTTGAACAAAGTATAATGTATAAAGTTCAGGTTAGATTTTGTTGAATTAATTTTACTTTATTTTGAAATTTAACACCCCCCCCCCAAATAATATTCTTAATAAGGGTTGGTTGCTCTACATGCAAACCAAGTCTTATTTCAAATAGGCATTACCCAATGCCATACATATAAAGCCCCAATTGTTTCACTATGTAGAATGATTTCTTCTTTAACTTTAATCTTTTAAGAATGAAGATGTGAATACATGATAGTGGTAAGACATTGTTAAGTCTGTACCTTGAGTGCCACTCTTTACAATGAAAGAGAGCCAGCCATTCAAATATTATATTTTATCTGACAGGATTCTGTGTTCTAATCCTGTTACCCCCTCATTGCTCTTGATGGGTTTGCAACTTCTCTAGCTCAGTGTCCCCATTTCCAAAATAAGGAGGTTGGACTGGAAGAATGATTTACAGGATCCTTTCTATTCAACATTCCAAAATTTCTTCTCTGACTTCAGACAGGTGCTATGAGTGTCTCCTCCAGGATTGGTCATCCTAAGAGGGATTATGTACTAGATTGAAAAAAAAATGCTATGAGCCATAAATGAAACCACAATGAAGGTTTTATACATGCAATGTGATACAGGGCAGAAAGCCCAACAGAGTTCAGGAAGGCTTCCACGGGCTGAGTGTTAAAAGAGATGTGGTGAGAATGAACATGGGCATGTTCCTGTCTTTTCAGTAATAATACAAAGTTCGGCTATCTGAAACAAGGTGATTTAACTCAAAATCTATGATACTTTGTCACAATTTCATTTCAGAGTTAGGAAGAGCAGGGCATTCTAAATAGTCATTCAGACACGGATGGAAGCTATGAACCATCTGAAAGCCCTTTGAGTGAGGTCTGTTTTGATTTATAGGCTGATTGTGCCTGCATCCTTCCACCCTCTAGTGTGTTGGGAGGAAATAAAGTGCAAGAGATTACACATCAAAACGACTGCAGCACTTGCTCTAAACACATGCCCCAGGCTGTGGAAGAGAGATGAGGGATGCGCCCAATCACTAAAGAGGAGTGATAGCTATCCCAAACCTATAAAAAGACAATAGTATGAGTGAATCCTCACTGCATGGATTCAGTAGCTACCAATGAAGTGCCATCAGAGAGACCACCTGACTTATTTTTTGCTGTCATGTTTTTTATGTGTGCAGTTGAAAGACCAATTGAAAAAAAGATTAATTCTAAAGTGTGCGGACTACTCATTATCATTTAAACATGAAAGACATTAATCTGAAACTGCAATTTTAGCTTAAGGCAATTCACTGTAGCTTCATACACAGTGCCCCGCCAACAGACAGTGAGGTTCAGCTAAACTCAGGCATTGACTGCAGAAATACTCATGTTCTTACAGGATACCTGAAAGGGCTCTTTAGCTAGAGATCCATGGATTCCCTTTCCTTTTTCCAGTCCTGTGGGGACTAACTTCCTATAGATAAGCAGGACATAGAGGCTGATGGTAGGCTGGCCTGTTGAGAGTGAAAGTGAGGAAATAGTGTGGGTGTGGCTTGCTTCTTTCTCCAACCCCAATTCCCATCACCAGAGGGGGTTTCAAACATCTGATGTTTTGAAATTATGTTTCTTACCATGTTCCTCCCAACTAGAAATACTTTATCTTTTGCCTATCCAAACCACAATTATCCTTCAAGACTTTCATATTCTTACTCTTCTGTGTATCGTCCTTGTCTACCAGATGTCTCTCTCCTTTCACTCTTTTGGAACTCCACTGGGTGTAACTGGGCCACACAATTTAAGACCCCATTCCTCACAGTCTACTGCACATTTCTAAAAAACAGTTCTCAGTTTGTAGCAAACTTAAGGGTTTGTACACTTTTCTACAGCAAGAACCCTAACATACATTTTTGTTGGGACGCAGCATATTATGGGCTAAGAACACACAAGACTCTGACATCCTACTTCCCTGATTAAGCGCTAGGCCTCAATACTTCTTACATGAGATCTTGCTCAAGAAACTTACCTACTCTGAACCTCAGTTTCCTTATCTGAAAATGCAGATAAAATTACCACCTATATTGTGGAGATCCCTGTAAAGCTCTTAGGATAGTATCAGGCACAAAATAAGAGCTCAAAAAATGTCAATAACATTATTATAATAATTATCATTATTTTATTATGTCCACAGAGATTAACACAATCCTGACTCATACTATATATTTTTAAAGAGTAGAAGTTATTCCCTGGGAAAGAATCGATCCCTCCCACCACAAAGTATGGTTAGATCCAGCCTGTCAGAATTACATCTCCTTGCATTTGTTAAAACTATAGCATTTCTAATCCCCCTTAGGACTCTTCTATACACTACTTGCTGGGCAGTGCCACGCCCAGGGAGTTCACATAAATGAAAACAAGTAAGGATGACCTCAGCAGTGACTGTTTTTCACTGATGCTTGCCCAAATCAAGTTTATATGATTAGAATATTTTTTAAAAAATTATTCAAAGTATGTCACTGCTTATCAACAACACCCACAGCTAACCCGTAATAAATTCAGTTATTGAACTTTACATTTTAGAGGTCTATACCAAGCATGTCTTGACCCATGGGCTGCATGCCTCGCTTATTTGGCCCGTGTTAGCTTTTGAGTTTGCCATGCTTGGTCTACACCATCAAACTTCAGCTCAATGAAGCAAGAGGAACCTCTGGCTGCAGAAGCCACAAGAAACTGGGTTAAGCTAAATAAAAACAGGCAGCTCTTATGGGAAAATATTCACACAAATTGAAATTCAAGAACCCTGTGATCTTTCTCTGCTCATACCCCAACAAGTGCCAATCCCATCAAAAGTTACAGCACTTAATGACAGAGAAGGATGAGGATGAAGTGACTGATATCTTTTATCCTGAGAGAGTTGGTCAAGTAAACATCAAGTAAGCTCATCAGGTCACAAATGAAAGAGCTTTACTTCCTTCAGAACATATTGAATATGTCGTAACAAAACTGTTTCATCATATAGACTCATTTTTTATAGTCTCTCTCTTGTAGCCTAACTTTTTTCCAGTAATGCTCAAACATGACTGTACAGTATACATAACGCCCAAGGCATTTAAGTAAAAATGAGCAAAGCAGTTACCTGGACTCCAGACACTGTATTTCTTTACGTTTGACTTTCTTTTATAGCTATTATGCAGCTGCCCATGCAGATCTTAATTGTGAATTACAGTCTACTTCAGAAGAGGAACTTAATTCCTTCATAATGTCCTATGAGCTGCCCACCTCCCCCGATCCTACATAAACAGCAGTAGAATACTGAACTTAAGGTTGTGTCAATGGACTCCACAAACATCAGGTCTTCAGCAAACGTGCTTTCAATCCAGATCTGAAATGATGAGGTCATGAATTAGGAAGTGATTCTGGTGGCGGTGATATTTACCTCTTTGAGACAGCCCATAAAGTTGTTACTGACTGGAGACCCTGGGAGGTCTGCTGTGCTGGGACTGCCTCCGACATAGAAAAAGTCATCAGAACCCAGCATGGTGTAATCTTCTTGCGTGTAGCCCGTTGTGGTAAGAATCCCATCCACTGAGATTGTCACCTAGATAACAAAGCACAGGGAAAGGACACGCTATACTCAGACCTAGATACTGTAATCCTGGGATATGCCTGTTTGTGTTTTGTTTTATTTTTTCATTTTGCTTTTTTTTTTTTTTGCTTATTGTTTTTTTCTGTTTTAGTTTTTGTTTTGTTTTTTAGACCTATAGCGGAACCCATTTTCATGTCTGTTTGAGGTTTATCTTGGATTCTATTCAACTAGCCCTAAGAGAGCTAAGCTAGTTAGAGAGTTAACTGATTATTGAACTACTGTGTCAGCATCATCCCTACTGCAACTCAAAAGTTATTGAGCAGACACAAAAATGGTGTTAGTAAAATGCTTCCTAGGTTAGTTTTGCTGGTGTACATATTAGTAAAGTTTAGTCGTCCGTTATTAACTAATCACAACGTGCACCTTGTTAACATAAAAGGCACAAGCTATTTCCAGCAACGTCACTCTTGGCACTACTGAGCGGCGGTTGTCATGCAAGTGCCTGCGCCCATGCCGAAGGGGAGGGAAGGCAAAACAACCCGTGGAAGCGGCACGCCCGATGCGCACATGCAGGGGGGACAGTACGGTTCAGAGAGGGGAGGAAAGAAAACAGGGGGAACCAAAGGGAAAACAAACAAACAAACAAACAAAAAACTGCTTTGTGATGACGTAAAGATGAGTGGGTGTGGCATCTCCAACATTCCCAAATCAAGTGTGCATGCCATGCGTCATGAATGGTTAGAGACTGGCTGAGCCTGCGGTCACTCCGGCCAGCCACCATTTGTCTGATCCCGTGTTAACCACAGCTGGATGCAAAACGTTCGAAACGTTAACGATGCCCCCTACAGGTGAGTTGGAAAACAGAAGTTGACAGGAACAGGTAAAAAATAAGAAGGTCCACAACAGATGAAAAGAAGGAGGTCAAAGTAAGCAGAAGAGTACCAACCGCAGTTCCTCTTTTGTTAATGATGTCTACAGTTAAAAGAAAGAAAGAAAACACACGGCAAACCCAAAATAAGAAACAATTAGAATGATATCTACCGAACAATGTAGTTTGTTTACCATAGCGTGTCCAATGCCTGAGTGCTTTGTGGAGAAGGGGGGAGAAAGGAAATTAAAAACTGTGAACAGAATAACGATCGTTACTTAAAAAATATGATGGTCTCTACCATGTTAGTACATTTTTTTTTTGATTCAGGTAACGGTTAGTAGAATGAAACATTCCATGAATGACATGTTAGTTATTAAGCATGTTAGTAACATAGAAAAAGGGCAAAAAAATTTTACAAGAAAAAAGCAGACTAACAAATAGGCCTCCCACAGAGGTAAATATTTTTTCCTGCCAGTTTTGTTCATAACTTGCTACCAGACAGAAACAGACATATGGCAACATTCCCTTTGTCTCCCTGAGTACATCTGACAGACATTTTAAAAAGCTTAAAAGGGATTCAAAGGCCTGAAGCTCATCAGCTGACCACTGCCACCCTATGCCCATAAGTGACCCCGCCCCCGCCCTGGCCCTCCCCAGCCCCAGCAAATTCGTAGGAATCGGTTGGCATTGCCCTGCTACTCAATTTTACAGCATACAAGGACTCCTCCTCAACTCCAAAACTTCCTTCGGTCATATTGATGGACTTTAGGGTCACAGATTACTGCAATGAAACAAAGCAAAGATCCTGACACATAAAATGAGTAGAATGGGTTTGTGTTTAATCTGTCCTGCCACACATGCACCCCGGCTGAACGGCTACGGTGTCCTTTGAGCTACCAATTCAGAGTTTGCTCTGGAACCTGAGCAAAGGCAAATCTAGAAAGTGGGCTCCTCAAGCCCCACCCTTCCTTCTGTGCTTCTCTCAGATGAGCCTCTGGTCTCTTGGTGAGTATCTGAGAGAAGGAATAAAGAAAGGAAAACCAAAGAGACAGACTTATCGGAAGTCCGGGTTCTACAGCTGTACTGAGGGTGGGTGACCGCCTCCCAAGGCCGGTGTGATGCCTGCAGGGCCCCTTGCATGCCAATCAGGCCTCTGACAGGTGCTCGGGGAAGTCTCGGGAATCCTTCAGTTTCACTGGTCTGCCTTAGCTCGGCTACCGCTGCTATCCTACAATCCCCCTTGCCTCCTCTCCCTTGGCTAGTCTAAGCCTCTCCGAAGTGGGAAAGAAAAGGTTAGACAGTTAACAGCTCAGAAAGAGAGGGCTGTTTTAGGAAAGGAAAACCCGAGACAATCGATCACTCTGCAACTGTTCAGAGAAACAACAAATATGTTAAGGATATTAGTTTGAGATCAGTATGGACTGCAGAAAATTAGTCACTGTCAACACTTCACAAAAAGACACACTGTAATTTCATGAATTTCAAATGATAACCAAAACTTATCATGTTCAATATAGAAGCATAATCTACTCACTTTCATCTGTGTATATATATATTTATATATACTGTAATAATATGTCTCAGTTAAAAACATACAGTATATGTGGACCCATAGATTAACTACAGAATGGATCATTATCTTGTATATAGACTTGTGCAAGATATTTTTTAAAATACAATTAAATAGAAATGGACACCTAGAATGTGAACTGGCCTCTCGGGAGTCATTTGGGTTAAACTAAAAGTGTCTGTTCTAAAAATAAAATAAAAAAATAGATAACTTCATAAACAGACTCTTCAGGAGATATGTAAACTCCTAAAGTCACTTTTCCCCCCGCAGGGATTTTTCTTGTCTCCATTTCAAAGGTGGGGGGTGGGAAGGGGGTAGGGATTGATACAATCCCCGATCACAAACACATGTTTATTGACTACAAAAAAGGAACTGTGATTTAATGACCCCAATGTGCATGCTTCCAAATGATCACCATGAAAACTATAATTTAAAATCAAACAAATAAAAAATCAAAAAACACAACAAAACCACACACATCACAGGAAGGGCAGGTCGCAGAGATGTCCTTGCAGCCCCCTGGGAAACTGTCCTATGTCGCTGTATCAAAATAGCCTTTGGGCCCCCAGAACTTTCTAGATATGCCCCTGCTCAAGTATGGCAGGAAGATTCATCTCAAAAGAAAAACAAAACAAAACAAAAAAAAACCAACACAGCTAATTTGTAAGCGACTCTGAGGAGCCCGGGATCATGTTGTTAGGGTTTCCAAGTACCACACACACAGCTGTAGCGAGAAACAAAGCCAGTTACTCTCTTATCCACTGCGCTGTTACCTGACGCAGATTCCTGGTGACTTTCACATCATGCCAGGCATTATCATTAAACTTTCCGTTCACGGGCTCCACTAGCGCTTCAAAGGCCCCTGATCCCAAATTAATGACCAGAGAGACAGCTCCATTTTTCAGGGCAAGATTGACATAATCAGCGGATTTCCCAGTGTGAAGCATCAGTCCATTCCTTTGAAGGGTTTTAAAGGACAGAGTTATTTCATCGCTGCTGCTTTGAATGGGGTTTTGAGACAAGTCGTAGCAGAAGTATTCAGATCCCTTGAAAGTGGCAATATATTCTTCTTTTCCTAGAGGGAAACAGATACATAGGTGCATAAGTAAAGCAATAGACTATGTAAATCAGCAGATCACAACAGAAAAAAAAATAATCAGTCTGCAAATTAACTCTTTGGCTTATAAACATTTCTGACTGATGCCAGCCCTGTCAAAGAAAGTCAAAAAGTACTGTAGGTGGCAGTATATACCATCCAATCAACCTCCTCAGCCATTGGGCCATTAACTACGGTAGCTAAATCTGACATTCTTGAAAATTCAATTAATTTTTAAGTATCACTGCAAGAGCTCTGATCAGAAAGAAGTAGGTCTGTGATATCTCCAGGGCATGAATCAGGTACCATAAATGCATATGGGATGGTTCTACTCTGCTGGCAACAATGGTTTCCAATGCATCGCAACATTCTCTCCATCCAACTGAGGCGTTATTTTAATTTTCAGTAAGATGTTTATATTCAAAGATCTTCTCAGTGAAGAGCCAAATGTGTTCATCACTGAGAAACCATAACGAAGTATCAGGTGAGGGGAAAGCAAAGAAAAGAAATAGAATTTTGTCTGGGAGTAAATAGATTTCCTATAGATCATATCCATTTTTTTTCTCCTTGGATAAAGGGAGCAGTGATAGAAAACTTAATGGAGTCAGCTGGATTGTTGATTCATTCCCCAATCTCATCAAACAGATGATAGGGCTGGCTTTTATGAGACTGGTAGGAATTTCCAGCACACCATTATGGGGATAGCATAAAAATGAAGTCTCAAAATTTTCTATATATTCAGACTTTACCATATGTAGGAGTAACAATGTGAATCCCACAAGATGCTATACAGATCAAACAGAAATGTGGCTATTTGGAAAGAACTGTCTTGTCCCACAGATGAAATGAGTTTAACCAAAGGAAGAGTGTGAGCCAAAAGCTCCCTCAACATCCTGGGCAATTATGGCATGGTGCCAAGAAAACTGAGATGGTCTGGAATCAGCGTCTGCTAAACTGTAAACATGAAACTCCAAGTGGTACTGAAGAATCTTAATCCATTTCACTGGTAATATAGCATCTCTACTATGCCCACTGGAGGGTTCATATACCCGAAGAAGTCTCATTCTAATGGTGGCGATATATATCTATAAATAGATAGATATCCTATCAATAAATGAAAAGATCCTCAATCCTATGAGTCTCCAGGAAAAGGCACAAATCAAACTATATTAAGATATAATTTCATAGCCATAACATTGACAAAAACAATTTTAAAAACTGGACAGTTCCAGGTTTTGGAAAAGCTGTGAATAAACAGTAATTCTTGTCTTCTGCCGATGAGACTGCTGATGAGATGAAAACTGACCGACTATAATAAATGCTATTTGGCACCATGCAATACTGTGGGAATTTTACATCTTATAAAGGTCTCAGTCCTTAGAAAATGGTTACCATGATCAATAAAAATAACATTCCCTAGTTCTTTCAATGCACTACTCTCCGCTCATAGTTTTGATCATTAGATGACGGGTAGTCAAGTGAATTTGGGTTCATATACATGTACATACATGATATATGGTGGTCCTCTTATCTGAAGATGATATTTATAAAATTTTCATCCCCAGGGAGTATTCAGAACAGGTCTCTGAGCCATGGGGAGTTTTAGAGGTCCACCTCAAATCTTTAATTTACATTATGAAGAAAGTGAGGCCGTGAAATCTAAATGACTTGCCAAATTCAGAAAGTGTGCCAGTAACCAAAGCAGGGCTAGACCTCAGCCTTCTGATACCCTTAAGTAATGAAAAACAAAGTTTGGGGACTTGAAAAGATTTGGTCTAAGTAAAGGCTGTAGCATTTTATCCACGTGACCTCATATCATTCCGAATCTGCATAAGTTGGGATGAAATTTGATAAAAGATTTGTTTGCTAGATAATATGGCAGAGTCAAAGGGAATCATGTTAAACAGAGTTTGCAGTTCATTAGATGGCAAGTTTTTAAGATATTTTAACACAAGATATTCCTTTTACTTAAAAATGAAAATATAGTATCACTCCTTTTGTATTGTTTCATTTCAAATTTGGGTAATTCAGATCTGCATTAAATGCACCCACACAATTTTGGAAATATTCACTCTGTAGAATATGCCATTGCCTTAGAATATAATAAATGAGACATAATGTTCTTTTTCATGAAAGAAGATGCAATATATAACATTGAAAAGTTTTTAATGCAACATTATTTATATTATTACTATTGCTATTATTTTAGTTTTACATAAATCATTCTACTTTCCACGATATAATATATGTTTTCTCCAATTCTTTGTCTGTTACTGTAAGTTTTGTGTTATGTCATATGCAAATAGCAGCACAATAAAGAGTTATATATGCTTTACTGTTACACTTAAAGAATGCATCTATGTCAATTGGAAAATAGCCCAAATATCCAAATATCTAGTTCACGTCTAATATATGCTAAAACAATAAACATCAAAGACACATTTTATCCAAAGCAATATAGAATCCACAAATATTTATATCTAGGATACATTAAGAATTTATATAAGAAAAAATGGACTAGGCAAATTAACAGGAAAAATAGACAAAATACTTGAACAGACGATAAAAGGGCATACATATGAAAAGATGCTCACCTTTATTGATTAGTCTTCAGGGAAATAAAAATAAAACCACAATAAAATATCAATATATTTCACTAAAAAGAATAAAATGAAGAAGACAAAAAGTAACAAATGTTTGTGAGAATGTAGAGCGACTAGAACCCTCTTAAATTACTGGTGGGAACTAATTTTTGAAATTGTTTGGCAATATCTTCTAAAGCTGAATATATGTTCCCCTATAACCCAGAAATTCTGCTTTTAAGTATACATTTGACAAAAATGTACACAAAGATCATCAGAATGTTTTCAGTAGCGTTATCTATAATATCAAAATAAACAATACTGAAATACAATCAATAGTAGATTAGATAAATAAATTGGGGTATAGTCACACTAGGGAATATTAATCAGCAATGAGAATATATGCTCTACAACTACTACATGACAGATACATGGGTAAATCTCACAATAATAATATTGAGGAAGAAAGCTAGACACAAAAGAGAACATATTTATGATTTTGTGTATATAAAAATTTTAAAACTAAACAAAACTAATCTGTACTATTGTAAGTCAAAATAATGGCTAGCCTTGGTAGAAATGGAGGAAGTCCTAGTGAGAACTTTTGGGGTTCTAGTAAAATTCTGTTCTTAATCTGGATGTTGGTGATGGATGTGTTCAATGTGAAAAAAAATCATTTTGCTCTAAACTTATGAAACTAGTATTATATTTCAATGAAAAGTTTAAGTAATTTGGATAATTGAGAATAAAATTAATCTGATAAAATATTTTCTTCCTGATTAATAGGGTGATGAGCAAGATACTACTCCCATCAATGCTGCATTTATTAATAAAAACTAAAAATATAGCCCAGCTGGTATGGCTCAGTGGTTGAGCATCACCCTATGGACCAGGAGGTCATGATTCAATTCCAGGTCAGGGCACATGCCTGGGTTGTGGTTTTAATTCCCAGTGCAGGAGGCAGCCGATCAATGATTCTCCCTCATCATTGATGTTTTTCTCTCTCTCTCCTTTTCCCTTCCTTTCTGAAATAAATAAAAATATATTTAAAAACTAAAATAATAGTAATAGTAATAATATAAATGATGTTGCATTTTAAAAAACTTTCCAATGAATAGTAATATCCATTAATATAATTTGTTCTTCAAAATACCCTCAGAAAATTTAGAGGAAATATATTAGGCTGCATAGATATAATTATAATTGTTTGAAGGACCATACTCTAAATGTATTGATCAATGGATCAATGTTAAGATGAAGGGAATCTCTATTATTAATCATAGCAATGTTATGGTAGAATTAGAGAAACATTAAAAAATGAACTTCAAAAACTTGGAGCATTTATTTAATAATCTATATTAATTTATTTTATGTTCCTGTAAATTGGAGGAAGAAACCTAATAGGGTGATCTTGTATTTATATTCTATTCAATTTCCATCCCTCCAATAGCTTAGATAAAATTGCATAGTTTTTATTTTTTCTAATTTTCTGAGGGAAAGTTCAATGGAGAAATTGGAATTCTATAATTTCTTTTAATGTTGGCTGGATGAGCTGACTTTAACAAAGTTAAATCTGATGGGAATAAATATGAGTTCTAATTTCTGGTCCAAAAACCACCCAACTGAATAAGTAATAGTACTATACAGGAAACATGAGTCCCTAGACACAACAGAAATACTGGTAAAGCAAAATTGCCCAGCCGGTGTAGCTCAGTGGTAGAGGATCAATCCAAGAGCCAGGAGGTCATGGTTTGATTCCCAGTCAGGGCATATTTCCAGGAGTTGGGGGCTCAATCCCAGTAGAAACATCATCATTGATGTTTCTATCTCTCTCTCCCTCTCCCTTTCTCTCTGAAATTAATAAAAAAGTATTTTATTTTAGAAAAAGAAATAAAGCAAAGTCTTTGGAGGATTTAGAATATGAACCATCAAATGATCAAGGCACTGAAAAAGTCCATGTAATAAGCATGGGTTACATTTGTCACAATATTAGAAGAGGGATGGGATGGTCCTGTATCTTAGTGCTGGTCAGCTAATGACCGTTATACTTCTACTTGACAAGCTGGAATGTATGTGGACGTCTGCTAAGATGATAAAAGGCTTCTAGATTATGTAAGGTAAAGAACTCTCTGAAAAAAAGACTTAGGGTAAAAATGACAGCATCTCCAAATATCAGGAAATATGTCCTTTAGAAGAATAATTCCATTCTGTATGGAAGCAGGGGTATAAATAGAATCAAAGCATAAAAGCTATGAAAAATATCTCTCATTATGAGGAATACTTTCCATCAGAGTTACCCATGCATAGAGCATTCCACCTGATAGAAAACAAATTTCTCATCACTTAAAGGACTTAACCTTATGTAACTGAACTACTTAGTGGGATGTGATAGAAGGT